CCGAGGGACATCGCGGGGCTCAGGACGAGGAGCCACCAGCCCGAGGTCAGGCTGTTGCTGGAAAGGTGCCTGTGGCCCACGGCGCCAGGGCTGCGCAGGCCGCAGGCCAGTGACCAGGTCTGCTGGCGCGGCAACCACGGAGGAGGGGTGCTCCCTGGCGGCGAGTTCTTGGACGGCTCCGCGTTCGAGGCCGACTTCGACGGCTTCACCTCGATTGGCTGGAGTGTGGTCGCCCTCCAGGCTGACGCCGACCGCTACCTGGCCTCCGTCGCGGGGCAGCTGGACGGCGGCTACGTCGACGTCAACGGGGGCGAGCTCATGGCGGTCATCATGGCGCTGAGGTTCAGCCTGGGCGGCGTCACCCTCGTCGTCGACTCCAAGTACGTGCGCGACGGCTTCTACAAGGCAGGGCGTTCGACCACCACCGCGTACGGGTACTCCTGGGCGCACTTGTGGCGGCAGGCGTGGGTCCTCATGGACGAGAAGGGCGGGCTGGGCAACGAGGTGCACGTGCGCTGGGTCCCCGCTCACCGTACGAGGCGGCAAGTCACGGACGGCGCCATCAGCTACCGCGACTGGCTGGGCAACCACTATGCGGACCTGACCGCCAAGGCCGCGGCCGCCCAAGGCCGCGCGCCTGCAGAGGACCGCAGCAGGCTCAGTTTCGGGAGGAAGCAGGTCCAGCTCGTCGCCATGTGGTGCACCGCGGTTGGCACGTGGGTTGACGGATGCGACACCACCCACGGCAAGGAGCGACCGCAGAGGACGGCGCACGAGCGACGCGAACCAACCGCACGGATGGCCTGCAGCTGGCGCGCGCGGCCTGGGGAAGCCCGATGGTGCGAGGTCTGCAGGTGGACCAACCGCGCTGGGGAGTGCCCTCGCAACATCATCGGCGACGCGGTGCGGGCCAACAACCTGCTCGCGCAGCGCGGCCTCGCCGCGCACGACCTCGTCGTCATTCACCCCGTGCGCGACGACGACCTGGAGAGGCGCCTGCCGCTCGTGGCCTGCACCAGGTGCGGCTACACGGGCGCCGCGCGGGCTTGCAGCTTCAGCCTGGAGTGCAAGTCGCCGCGTTCGGCTGCGGGCAGCGCAGCCATCGCGCGCATGCGGGCTGGCCTGGCGCCGAAGATCGCGAATGGCGTGGCAGTCGTCATGCGACGCCTCGGCAGCGACGCGGAGACGGCCGAGGACATGAGGTGGCGAGGGGGAGGCAGCACCGGCGGCGGAGGCGGCAGCCCCAACCGGCGGGGCGGCGGCGCCGACGGCTCCGATGCGGCGGCGGATGACGCCTTCTCGGACGCGGAGGCGGCAGCTGGCGTGGGGGGCAGCCTGGGGGGCCCAGTCCCGCTGGGAGCGGGCCCCCAAGGCACAAGGACGGAATCCGCCAGTTGGCCGCAGCCTGGGAGAAATTGCTGTGGCCCTGCTGCCTCGATGGATGGCGCGGAGGCCGCTGGCGGAAGCGCGCGCCCCACAGGCCGTGAGCACGGGCAGCCGCAGCAGCAGCTGGCTCGAGAGGATCGAGGGCGCGACCAGCTGCAGCAGCAGCAGGCTCGCGGGCGGCGTGGCGGGGAGGACGAGGCAGGAGCAGCCGCGGCAGCCAGGGGCAGAGCTGGCAGCAGCAGCGGCGGCGATCCAGGCCAAAATTCCCACGGCGACCCGCGCCGAGATCCAGGCCATAATTCCCGCGGCGACCCACGCCGAGATCCACGCAGAGCGGGCCGCGGTCCAGGGCGCGCTCAACAACAGCAGCAGCAGCAGCAGCAGCAGCAGCAGCAGCAGCAGCAGCAACAGCAGCAGCAGCAGCAGCAGCAGCAGGCTCGCGTGCAGGGTGGCGGCGTGGACGAGGCAGGAGCAGCCGCGGAGACCTGGGGCGCGGCTGCGACCGCGGCGTCGGCCACCAGCCTGGACCTGGACGCGCTAGTGCACAGCGCTGGCGGCGCCGCCAGGAGGGAGCGCTCCCGCTCCCCGCGCGGCGGCCTCGCCGCCAAGGTGGCATACCTCCTTGCCGCCTGCCGCGGCACTGGGGAGCGCGAGGGCGACCCGCGGCAGCACGCGGCGGCGCGCCTGGCGCTGGAGGGGCCTGGCCGTAAGCAGGCCGAGACCGCGGGCGACGGCGCGCGCGCGGAGCGTGGGAGAGCGCAGGTGGAGAGGGCCCAGGTCGGGCCTGATAGATCCGCCCGCGCCGCTGGGTCCCCCTCGAAATCTGGTGTGGGCGGCCCTGGGCGGCCTGCCCCTCGATCTTCCTGGGGTGCCGTGCCGCCTGGCCCGCGGGCCTGAGCGGGGTGGGCGCGCCCTCTTTGGATCCCTGCGTGGCTCCAAGGAGGTCGTGCGGGCGTCGGGTCCTGGGCCTCGTCGCCACGGCCGCGCGCGGGGCGCGCGGGCGTCTGGAAGCGGGTGGACGAACGTCCGCTCCCCATGCCGCGCTGATCCTCCTCCTCCTCCTCCTCCTCCTCCTCCTCCTCCTCCTCCCTACCCCTCCTTCTGCTCATCTTGCCCGTCCTTCGCCTGCTCATCTTGCCCGGAACGGTGTCAAGGGGCGGATGTTTGTATCATTTGGCCGTGTTGAGGGCGGTCAGGGAACCCTCGTGGAGCGTCTGGGTCGCGGTTTGGGCCGTCTGGGAGCCTTCGTGGAGCGCCTCAGGAGAGTGGAGGGCCGTCTGGAGACGACCGCAGGCGTCTGGAACTAATTCTCTGGCGGCTCGGGCGCTGGTGCTCTGTTGGGATGTCTTGGCAGTGTCTTGAGGCGGCTTTGGGGCCTCTTGGATGCTCTGGGCGCCCCTGTGGGTAGCCCCTGCAACCGTCTTGAAGCTGGTGGTGTTGCTTCTGGGGCTGTCGGCAAGCCGAAAAGGCAGAAGCCCCCCAAACACCCCAAACCAATGGACAGCACGAGAATTTTGCCTCTTGGGGCCTTGTTGGGGAACGTCTGGGAACCCTCTTGGAGCGTCCAGGGGGCGTCTTTGGCCGTCTGGAAGCCTCAGTGGAACGTCTTGGCAGCGTGGCGGATAATCTGGAGACAATCACGACCGTGTGGGGGCGACTTGGAAGCGACTGGGGGCTCTCGGAACGCCTCTGGAGCACCTCTGGTCCCCCTGGTCCCCCCATGCGCTGCGTAGCCCCCCAGCCAGGGGCCCCCAGGCCTCGTAGACGGGTCTTTCTCTCTCTCTCTCTCTCTCTATCTCGGTATACATGTGTACATTTATATTTACACATATATACACATGCGTGTGTGTGTTGTGTTGTGTGCGCGCGTGCGCATGCGCGTGGTTGTGCGCGAGAGCGTGTTTTTGGGTGTGTGGGTGTGGGTGTGTATGTGTGTATGTATGTGTGCATGTGTGTGTGTGCGCGTGCGCGTGCGCGTGCGGGTGCGGGTGCGTGTGCGTGCGTGTGCGTGCACGTGTGCATGTGCGTGTGCGTGTGCGTGTACGTGTACGTGTACGTGTGTGCGTGCTTGCGTGCTTGCGTCCGTCCGTCCGTCCGTCCGTCCGTCCGTCCGTGCGTGCGTGCGTGCGTGCGTGCGTGCGTGCGTGCGTGCGTGCGTGCGTGCGTGCGTGCGTGCGTGCGTGCGTGCGTGCGTGCGTGCGTGCGTGCGTGCGTGCGTGCGTGTGTGTGTGTGTGTGTGTGTGTGTGTGTGTGTGTGTGTGTGTGTGTGTGTGTGTGTGTGTGTGTGTGTGTGTGTGTGTGTGTGTGTGTGTGTGTGTGTGTGCGCTGGGGGGGGGGGCGTTCATGCAGTGCTGCTCTCTCTCTCTCTCTCTCTTCGATCCCGCGAACTGGCTGGGCCCCCTGCCCCGCACGACATGAGACCGAACGTCGCTGGTGGTGCGATGGAAGTGCCTTGTCGATCTAGCCATCCATGCCGAGGCAACCAACTCGACGGGCCCTGGCCACAACACTGCACGAACTCCTCCGTCATGTGTACTGCACTGTGCTGCTCACGAGCGCCAGCTACGTCCACGCATAGAGAGATGGTGGCGTCAAGCGTTTCCGCACGGATGCTTTGGGTGTCCATGAATCAGCGGCTCCCATCTCATCGAAGAGTTTCACCGAAGGGCAAAGCTTCATTCCTGCAGCCAATCCACAACATATTCTCGTGCAGTCGCTCATTCAACTGCGTCGCACCGACAAATGCACCACCAATCCGTAGGCACCTAATGGAGTGTTGTCAGATCCCTTCGAGCTTCTTTAAAGGGACTGGCCGATTCGAAGCGATCTCAGGAATCGCCGCGCAACTTTCCCAAAGGTCTTGGGAGCACAGCTTTGGAAATGTATGCCCAGCTTGCCCGAAGCTGTTTCCTCGGGCACTTTCTGGATCCCTCTTTTGGGTGCCACTGGGACCGTCTTGGAAGCACAGGCTGGCCAGATGCCTGGAAAGCCTCCATGCGGCGACCAAAAGACCTCCAAGCGGCCTCTGGTCCACGACCCAAGCGTGGTGGCGGGATGGACCGAAGACCACCAGATCCGCCGCCCCTTGTTGCCTGCAAGAAGGGCTGTTGGCGTGTCAAGTGACTGCCTGAACCCCTGCAAAAGGTTCCCAGTGCGGTCTCGGCGCATCCCTTCAACCACCTGTGCGAACATGAAGTGCTGAGCCAAGGGTTTCATTCCGGAAGATGTCCCTAAGATGCCTCCAAGGCGGTAAAAAACGTCTAAGAGACCTCCAATGTCGCCCAAGATGTCTCCAAGACGTTCCAAGGTGACGACGGAAGAACGGGTGCGCCCAGGAGACCCCGTAGTGTATACGGATGTCGTCCTCCTCCCCTTCCCTCCTGTTCCTCCTCCTCCCTCCTTCCTTTCCTGGAGGGCACACGTACCTTGGGGGGGGGGCATCCTATGTCTGTATGCCCAGGTCACTTGAATTCGCGCATCGCGCCTCGCAATGCGCAATTCTTTTCGCGACCTCACGCTGCAGCACCTCTGCGGCCCCAGCCGCGTCGCGCGAAGCGCGACTATCTGACCTAGGCCTGGAGATTGCTGTCGACAGGGAGGCCCGAACGCGTCGCCTGAGTGCGCGCAGGCGCTGGCCAGTGGCTTGAGCCAGATGCTGCTGCAAAACCAAATCAAGTGAGCACGAGGCAACACGTTTATGCTGCGCTCGAAGATTCCTTATCTCAGGCCCTCGTGCCCACAAGTAGAAAGATGTCGAGCTATATGAAACGGATGGTGCATTTTCACATTTGTTGTGTTTCGACGCTTGCCCTTCACCCATGCGAGGCGTGCCGTGTGCATTACCGTGGCATCGTATTTCTCCCACACTTGAATGTTCTGTGGGGCCACTTAAATAACACGATACGTAAACCCTACATCATCATCAAACGCATCGGGCAACACGGCGAACCAAAACGTACTGCCACCAAATACGCGATAAGCTCGAGAGTGCACAGCCTCCTCGGAATGGGGAACGCATAAAACGCCACTAACTGCGCTATCGCGCCGTCAGTGGCGGCCACGTGAGAAAGCACGGAAGCCTGCTCGAGCAGGCGACGTCGGGGGAACCGCATCGGTTCCTCCAGCGGTGCTGCACTTGCCTATCCCAGACACCTGGAGGTCGATCGACTCACGAGGGGTTGAGGTCATGGAGGGCTACGGCTGGTTCGTGTCGTGGTGTGGACGTTGGTGTCTGACATCGCCTATATCTTTCAATTCAGAGCGACGCTCGCTGTCCGACAGCGTAGACAAATCAACCTTGAGCGATTGGCCTGGCTCAAGCCGCTATCGGCCTTCAAAGCTTGAGCGCCCGCGCTGGCGTCGCCGCCACGTCGACACGGCCCGAACCTGTCGTAGTGGCTGAGTGGTGTCTCTCTGCCCCCCCACCCCCCTCAGGAGGGCCTCCTGGCCACAAGTTCCCTCTGGACCGGCCCAGGACTTCTGGTGAGCCAAGCCGTTGGTGCGCACCCAGCACATGCCACCCTGATTCGACCACCAGGTCGCTCCCTCACAAAACTCTGCTCTTCGCCCAAGACTTCCAGATCCTGACGCAGGGCTCTGATCTGCCTTCGCACTCTCTCGTGCAACATGGAAAAATGCACTGGCTACATAAGACGGAAGGGGCGGGAGGGAGGACGAGGGTACTTTTGAACGGGATTCGACGGGCCGCCTGAGCCGCCCAACGGCCCCGCGATTGCTCAGAGAGAGAGAGAACATTTGAGCGCCACGCGCTCTTGGGAGACTCGCCGCAAGACGATTAGAGGCGAACGAGACGATTAGGAGCGCAGCCAGGCAGACGAGGTGCTGGTGGCGCGCAAAGAGGGGCAGGGCGAAGAGAGCTGCATTCCAAGAAAGCAAAAGGATGCTAGAATCTAGAAAGGATAGGAAACTCCTAAGAAGGCAAGAGGGCCTCTGAATGACCTCCGTCTTCTTTGACGGCCGCCAGCCTCGCCCTGCTCCTGACCAAATTCCGCCCACAAGCGGTCCCCACACCGCTCCTGGGACCCGTCCTGGCCCGTCGGTGTCTTCGAGCCGCGCCCGGCGCTGGCGACAAGGGAGACCTCCGAAGGCCAAGAGACCAGGACAGCGATGGCGAGGACACACGAAGCCCCCCTCTGCGCGCCCCCGATCAGATGACGCCAACTCTGCGTCCGCACCGATCCTGGCCGGCAGCGGGGCGGAGGGCACGCCCTTTGGGGCGGAAGTCTCCGCCCCGTGCGCGTGGCGCGCTGGGGAGCCGCCCGCCGCTGGCTGTACACGGGCGGGCGGGCGGCTCCGCGCGGGGACCCTCTGGAGCAGAAGAAGGCCCTGGGCGCCGGGAGAGCAAGAGCGGAGGCGGGCCGGAATCCTGCTGGTGCCCGAGGTGGGCCCGCCTGCGCAGCGCCTCAGTAGCTCACCTGCACCGCGCTGCCCGGCCCGCACCCGGCGGGCACCTGGAAGCTGACGAGGCGGCCGTCCGGCGCCTGCACCTGGCAGGGTTCGAGGATCGAGGGAGGAGGAGGCACGGTCCAGTACACTGTCACCCCCTTATACTCCCTCCATCCTCCTCTGGCGGCGAACACAACCAGGGGGCGGGGCATGGGGTTTTCCAGAAGTGGTCGACGGCTCAGGCTCCTTGGTCATTGGAAGGCAGGAGATTCTCAAAGAAGCACCCTGCCTTATCAGAAGACCACCCCCCTCGCCCAGCCCCTGGCCAAAATCAGTTCCAAGCCTATCCCCAGACCCCTCCCAGGACCCAGGATCACCCCTTGCCCGTTTTCCGAGCGAGTGGAGCCCGCGAAGACCATAAGAATAATGTTACCGTGTGGGGGATATTCTGACGAGCAGCACGCGAATGCTCGCCCTGCGCTTGGCGATAGCTCGAGAGGGCCTCGACTCCGGCTGGGCCGAATATCTTCTGGGGGGCGAGGAACGCTCGAACACGAGAGGGTTTGAACATGCACTCACATACGACGACGCTCTCTGCCCGTATGGCTCGTGGCTGGGGCCCCGAGGCCGTCCGAATCAGGAGAAAACGTGCCGCACCAGCCGCGTCCAAACGGCCAGCACGGAAACTCGAGGCGCTGACCGGCCGGCCGAGGAGGAGCGGATCGGAACGGCACGAGAAGCAGGCACAAGCCCCGACAACCAGGCGGGTGCCGCATTCGATCGAGCACGACGGTCGCAGGCTGAGCGGCGCGGGAAGTGTGGGGGCCGCGCTCGGCCGCGCGCGGTCTGCTCGCCCAGGGGCCTCCTCGGGCCCGAGGGCCTCTGGGGCACACGCAGGAAGAGGAGGACAAAGGCGGCGCAGAGTGGCACGGGGGAAGACGAGGCCCAGAGCCGCCACCCCGTGAGCCCCCACCCTGCCCTGCCCGTGCAGGCGGCCGCAGGCGAAGAGACCGCCCAGGACTTGGCCCAAGGAACACGACAAAACGGCCCTCGCTTTCGGGTGCGCCGATGAGGGGCTCAGCGCATCATGGCCCGAGGGATGTGCGTGGACCAGGGGGAGCCAACGGACGTCTTGAAAGATGAAGGAGGGGGGGGTCCATGAAGTCGGGGAGATGCCATGGCCGTGGGCGTGATATCCCCCCCTCCCGGTCCTCACCCCCCCCGTGGGGGCCCCCGACACTCCCTCCGCTCCCGCCTGGAACGTCTTCCCCGGGAAGGCGTCGGCAGGCAGGGTCACCGTCACCGTCTGGGCGGGCGGCGCCTGCGTGTACTGCGCATACTGGGCGTACTGAGCGTACTGCGCCTGCTGCTGCGCCTGCTGCTGCTGCAGCTGCTGCTGCAGGGCCGCCTGCTGCAGGGCCGCGGCGTACTGCTCCTGCGTCATGTACTGCTGCTGCATCGCGAGCGGCGTAGGCGATCGACGTTCTATCCCTGTCCCTGCTCGCGCCAGACAGAACTCTACGAGGGGGCCCGTTGGGGTCATTGACAAAAGTACTGCCTCTGTAGTCCCGATGTTTTGTCCACAGCCTGCCCCCCCCCCTGGCGCTCAGAGCGTGAGGCAACATCAGCAGCAGCAGCAGCAGCAGCAGCAGCAGCAGCAAGGGTGTGGATCGAACGTCCATGGTCGAGCAGCGGGGCGAGAGCCGTGTGCTTTCCAAAGACGCGGTAAGCTGGCGGTGCGCAGAAGGGAGGGCTCGACTTGCAGGGGGCTCGGCCTTCAGGATCTTCGCGCTGTTCATCCTCTCTGGACCTGCAGGGCCCTCGCCGCCACGGCTAGACGCAACTCGGAGTAGCTGGCAAGATTGACCTTTGCGAGGGGCCGGGCCGAGGGGAGCGCCCTTCCCACGGAGAAGGCAGGGGGGTCCTCTCAGGAGCGAATTGGAGGCTTCCCCGAAGGCTGCGTGGAAGCTGGGAGGGCTTCCAACCCAACCCAAAGGATTGGAAAGCAGATTTGAAAATCCCCTACTGGAGGCCGAACCTCCATTTTCTCAATTTGGAGGGACGAAAACTCCAGGATGGAAGGAATGAGCCTCCAGAGTGGAGGCCGAACCTCCACTTTTGAAGGTTTTTGACGCTATGTGTAAGGAAGCCCCCTGCCTTCCCTGCCCTCTCGAAGGCCAGTCCACCTCGCGCCACACCCTTTCTGCGCGCCGCCGAGCGGGAAATGGCGCGCCACAAACCTGTGGTCAGTGAGTTGGGCCGAAATCGCTTGAGCCGGGACGGCGGACGGATTCTACGTACTTGATACTCTGATCACGAAAGAGGGCCCCACTGAAACGTCCAATTTGCTTTCCGCATGCATTGTGTAAAGTTGGTTGGGGCAGACCGAACAAGCAAAGAACAGCTTGTGGTTCTGCTATGGCTGGTCAAGCTGATCGGGCTTGCCTGGCGGTTCTGGCTGGCTCTGGCCGGCTCTGGCAGCCACTGGCGCGGCTTAATAGTCTGAACCCACGGGGCCGAGGCTTCAAATCGAAATCACGGCGCCCCCAGACCAACTTTTCTTGAGAAGGGATACATTTTAATCTCGCAAGCCAAGTCACCCAAAAGACCTCGATACCCGTTCTTGAAAGCAAGACATCGCGGTTTTGAAAAAGGAGCGAGCTAAACTTGAAGAACAACACCTTTCAAATTGATAAACCACCAATTTCAAATTAAAACGTCGGCCTCGTCGGTTTCACTTTGCGGGGTCGCCATGTTAGACCTTCATTGGTTCCAGCATGCAGGGAGGCGGAACAGACATCATTATTCGGCAACGCGTGATCGATGGAGACACAACTGCACACTCGCGAATATCATTGACGAAGCGCCAAACCGTCCTCGATCTTGTCTACGTCGTTGACCAGGGGCACAACAAAAACCCTGGTGTCAATTCGGACATCCCTGCAACATGTACAAATACTTTGTGCCCGTGTCGCCTCGAGCCGGCAGGCCTGAGCTCAATCGAATCGCGAAACCAAATAGGATCGGAAACGGATCGGATCGCAACTGTTCGTTCCGGATCGAATCGAAATCGGATCATCGCGCCTGACTCCGGCTGGCCCCGACTGGTGCCAATGAATCGAACCGAATTGAATCGGAATCGCGGCCCTAATCGAATCGCAAGGAATCGGATGACCTGCACGGATCTCGGTCAAGTTCATCTGGGCGCATGCGAACGCAGCCACTGGGGCCTTCGATGGCGCTCTTCATGGGGCCGCGAAACGTGCGAGAGGCCCCCGAAACGCCTCATTGTGAGCCAAATGAAAGGAAATGCAGCCGACGCCGAGGCAAGAACGCCAGCAATAACAATTGCTTTGCATTCAAGAATTAACCGTAACGACGACAACGCAACAACAATCCGCACCGCGGAACCCCACTTCAGCGACGCACCGAGGGACAGTGAAGGACCGCTGGGCCCCCTCACTCTGATTTATCTGGGTGATTCAGTAAGCACGGACGGAAAGCGAAGAGCAAGCCTCACTCGCGCTTGGGAGAAACCAAAACGGTATTTCAAACATTGTGTTCTGCCTGGAGCCACATCAACCTGACTAGAGCGCGGAAAACACAGATCCTGGAACCGTGCAAATTCTCCAAACTTATGTACGGGCTGGGTTTGTGCGTGCTCCACAAGCAGACAGGGACTGGATATATAGATTTCAAGGGAGATCATTACGACAAAGTTTTAGCATCCAGCCCGCGCGGTTATTACCTCGTGTGAGCAATGCCGAAGAGCGTGAGCGCGCAAGAGCTTCGCCACTGACCTCGACCCAGTGAGAATGACAATTGAAGTTGTATGGCAAACTCGCCCAAGACATCATCAAAAGCTCACCGAGGAAGCTGGTGTTCGATGGCGACCACATGCGCAAGATGCTACCTCGAAGCTGGAACCCTTCGCGATCGAGAGGACGCCGTCGGTTACAGTGGACAACCTATCTGCACGCCGGGAGGCACTAGCAGTGGCGGGCAACGATCCCAGCACTCTGTAAAAGTTGTTTTGCTGCAGATTTCTTGAGAATGGCACGCGGCAGTCAAACAGTATTGCACCTTGTAGCTGGATGTGTTTCCACTCCTCGCCCCCTGGCCCAATCCCCACCTCCTCCCCCTTCTCCTCCGGCGTGGAGCCTGGCCGCGCGCCCTCGGGCAGCACCGGGTCAGACGGTGTGTTCGCCACCGAGGTTCGGCAACGTCTTCCACAATTTGCCCTTACACCCTTACATGTTTGCTTCGGTCATGCACGTGGCTTGCTTTACGCGGGGGGGGCGCGAGGGGGGCGGCCTTGCTTCAAAGAGGGTAGGGGCCTTCTAAGAACGCTTCTTAACAACATCCGGGCCCTTTAAGCCTCCTGCCTACCACTCGCCGTCGTAGGCCATCCCCCTCGCACCTCCACCTTATGCTCGCCGTCGAGAAGAGTGGAGGAAGAAGGAAACGGGCCTTCGAGGGTCGAGGTTCGAGCCATCGAGGGCCGCAACTTGACCGAACCTCCTCGCGTCGTGACAAGACAATCACGACGGAATGCTCTGGGCCACTTTCGACCTCTAAGGGCCCCTACGGGGCGCCGAAACTGAAAACAAAAGCAACTCGGAACGATGAAACAATCCCGGGAAAATGGTCCATACCCATGGGGGTCCTCCCGATGCCCCCCCCCCCAACCCTCGAGAGTCGAGGATCGAGCTCTCGAGGATAGAAAAGCACAAATCTGCATCGAGGATCGAATTACGTACGAGCGCGGGGGGCTTCTGGGAAGCCTCTGGTCGCTATGGCTGGGTTCGCCTCGAATCTGGCCAGAACCTCCCCCGCGACTCCCCCGGGGGACAAACATCAACATAAACGATGACTCTCGGAGATCCGCCCACAGCGCGCTCTGCGCGCCAGGGAGGGGGGTGGTCTGACCCAATCAATCCGCGCGGACCTTCTAAGTTTTTGTATCGATGCCTGTTCTTCGAGAGTATCGACAAACAGGCAGGTAGAGGAAGAGGCAGGTGTCGATGGTCGTCCGACTCGGAGATCTCCCTATCAAAAAACAGCTCGCGCTGGAACTTTCTCTGCGGCACGAGGCGAACCGGTGCGCGCGCTTGAAAAAAGAAACTGCTCGACGGTGCAGCAATGCACCAGAAGCTCGTCCCTACAACGCCAAGCAACAACACAAACATAAACTTCGAGTACCCGCGGAGATCTCTCGGGCCGGCACTGAGCCCCAGCTCCCACACCGCTTCCTGGGCGCGGGGAGCGCGCCAGAGGCGGCGCCTCCAGCGCCGCCAGGAATGTGAAGGGAGGGGGCTCACCGCCGCCCCCAGAGATCCGCGCGGAATTCCGAAAGCTTGTCCCCGAGGATCCAACCAAAACGCGGAAGTGACGTGCACGGGCATCGAGAAAGAACGCCTCCAGAAGTCAGGTCGAACCTAGATTTCGGGGGTTGGGGAAACTGTGGGGAAGTCCAGCGCCGACCCCAGAGATCCGCGGGGGAGGACTCATATCGCTCCTCCTCCGCCTCCTCCTCCGCCTCCTCCTCCTGCTCCTTCTCAGGGCTCATTCTGACCAGGATCTCGGGGCGGGGCTGGCCGCTGGCCGTGGCGAACGAGGTCTCTCCAGGACGCCCAAGAAGGCGAAAATGGGGAAGAGGAAAGCGGGCATCGTGCATGGGAACATAAACCCGAATGCATCGTAAGTTAGGGTTTCCGCCATTCAAAGAAATCAAGCGTGATTCAGGCAGCGGTGGCCGAGGGCAGCAAAAATGACAAGCAACTCGCATTTATGTTGAACCTTTTCCGTGGCTGCCGCCGCTCGAGCTCATCTGACCTCGCAGTCGATGAAGGACGGTTCCCCAACCTTATTGCTCTCCAGATTTACGGCACTTCGATGTGTTTTAGGCGTGGCCCCCAGAATCTCTCGACGTCTTGCCCAAGGGATATGTTCTTGGTCCCAGCTTGTTTCCTGACGGACCCGAGGCCCGAAACTGGCCTCCAGAGGCCTGGAATCACGGCTGACTGGCCGCCTCGATTTTGCTCGAAGCGCCAGACGTCTGGGTCCTCCTCCTCCTCTGAGGCCTTTCGACTGTTTATGTTCATGCAGTCTTCTGGCCCTCGGACGGATGCAGCAAGTGCGCCCCAAAAAGGCCTGGCGAGCCCGCACAGGTCATGTGCTGCGCAGCGCGCACGGGCCGCGCCCAATGCGGGCACTATCGAGTGAAAACTGTGCACCCGAGTGCTTGACTGGCATACCCGAGACTCAGACATCCGGCGCCTCGCGAATATCACAGCGATATGGCTCGCAGTGATCGGCATATGGAAGCCCCTTTCGGGCTCCAGAACCATCAACAAACAACCCAGGATGAAAAGCCAGCCCCAGGTAGGGGGCTGGGACCTCAGCGGACCCCGTCTTGAAATAAATCGTGCACTGGATATCTGGGATGGGGACGATGCCCCTGCAACACCAGCTGCTGTCCGAGGCCGACAGCGGCCGCTGCTGGGCAGGTGGCGTTCATCCCAGGTGGCAGTGTCGGAGTCGAAAGCAGGCGTCCGCTGTCCTGATTTTTTCGGGACGGCTTCCCCAACGTCCCGACGCCTGTCCTGGGTCCGGCTTCTCATCTTTTCATCATGAGGCCCCAGGACCCTAAAACGGCCCCCGCAGGCCGAACATGGCGAACAAACTCCGCCTTGATTTCTGCAGGACGTCGGAGTTCTGGGCCCTCCTCCCTCGAGCGACCCATGACGTCTCTCGGGTGTGCTCCGGCCACCATTTCGAAGGGAATCCGCCCGTGGCGACGACGGATTATCCAGAATTTCGAAGGGTTTCTACCCAACATGTCGAAAGGGATGCAGCGTCTTGATTTGTTGGAAGCGCTGAACGTATGTGAAGTGGGCAAGAACTCTTGTCGGTCTTCGCTCCCATTCTTGCCGCCACCATTCCGATCCTCACAACGTGGGATCACGCGGGCGCACACCGCGGACTCCCTGGATCGAATGTCGACGGGGGGAGGGTAGATGATCGAGGACGACGTCGACGTCGACGTCGTCGTCTCGGACACGAACGTCATTCTGGGAAACTCTGGAGGTTCTTTTCGTCACGGCTGGACGCATCTCGAGAACCTGGCCAAGATGGACCCGGGGTGGTTTACATGGATTCTGGCCAATTCCTCTCGAATATAGAAGCGGCATGATGAAGAACGTTCGGTTTGTGGGCAGCGGAAGATCGGAAAAATATCGGAACCGGCAGCCACACACAGCTGCCATCCCTGGGCCTCGGCCAGGAGGGTCACTACACCGTCCTGGGGCCCCGCCCAGGGATGGCGGTGAA